GAATATGACCACAGCTACACATTGTTCTTCCACCCTTAGTTTCGGGTGGTCCCACTCCCTCTTCCCCATTTCCTTTCATCTTCCCACTCCAAAGATTACTCCCACCCAACTGCATTGGTTCAAGTGTATCATGACTATCCCACAGAATGGCTCTGTGAAATAAAGCATTTTAACCTTGACAGTGTTACCCCAGTAAGTTCAGGGCTCAGATCTAGAGCACAGCCCACTGAATGGGTGCAGCTGATAGGACAATAACTTTCTGAGGGGAGGAGGTATGAACCTCTTAAATCAAATGTGGTGATAGTGGCAAAGGGATGTGAAACCACAACCTAATGAATAACAGCAGCCTTCAGGCAATAACACCAATGGGATGATGGATGAGGTCAGTGGTGTTAACAAATGTACATATTGTAAAAATTTTCACAAGTACATCACTTACTGTAGTAGGAATTTTCCCATCTTCAGGTAAAAAATGTGTTTGGTTTTCTCTTGATTTTAGGCAGAGTTATTCCAAATGCAGTGCTCTAAAGGGGTTTGATACTTGGGTGCAGAGTCAACATAAAGCCTCATGCTTGTCACCACCTACAGAACACCTGCAGGTGTCAAAGTTGCTGTAAATAGTCCTGGGACCAGTATTATGCATCTGTAGGAGGGCCTGGTCGCAATGCGAAAAATCATTAGCCCTTCTCGTCAATTGTTGAGGAGCTGGAGCTGTCCCAACCTCTGCACCTACTCTGTGTATCACATGCTTAACTGAGCATACAAATACTAAGGGTATCTGCAGGGTCCACGCGCCAGCAACTGCTCCAGTAGGCAAGAACTGTAGCTCACTAGTTCTACAAGGAGCACTGTGTCATCTAGTAGTAAAGGTAGAAGAATAAATGTCACCTAGTCAGTCTGTGACTTACAACTTTGTTTACCACACCTCACGCTGTTTTGCAACTATAGCATCCATAAAGCAGGTTTCAGGATAAGTTTCAAGGCAGGCTTTCTGCAGTTTTTTTTGTGAGGGCAGCTAGGCTGCAGTTGGAATGCAAAACACCAAACTAGTTAAGTCTGGTTAACTGTAACAGGTTAACTCCCTGGCAGAGTCAGATTAAAGTAAAAGCTTTGGCAGCAATTGTTTCTTGCTTACAGTGAGTCCTTCCCTCTGCACTTATTTTTTCAGCTGAGCACCTCTGAGTTGCCTGCTCATTGCAAGAAATTTCCCCCGGACTCCTCTGGTTGTGGGAAGCACTCTTCTCCAGCAGCCTGACAGTACAGGCACCTTCTGCTCCACTCGGACACCTCCTAGGTTGCGTCCTGCTTGTCTTTCCCTCTCGCTTGCCTCGCGCTGTTGCCACAAGCTGCTGGCAGTTCAATGTGCCCTCTGCTCTCTGGGCAGTAGCAGTGATCCCTCCTCCTGGAAGGTTTTGTCTGATAAGAGCACCCAAGACAGCGCAAGAAACTCACCTTTCTCCCTGCTGCCTAGTCACAGCCCTTTTAATGAAATGTTTTGCTATACAACATACCTTAATATTAGTATGGTAAGCTATGAGCAAACAGATGAGATCGCTGCTGTCCATTACAGAAGTTTACGGAGATCTGAGCTGCACTGAGCATTACTTACTCCACTCAGAAAATTTAGTGGCCCGGTCTAGAGCTTACAGTGCTACAGCGAGTGCCAGGGTGCAGCTGAACGAAAAGGGGCAGGAGGCTGCAGGCTGACGGATAAACGGAGGAGCAGAGTGGGAAAGAGGTGGTGCGGAGAGCAGAGGAGTTCACAAGGGGAGTTAATAACTCTACAGAACCTTTTCTCTGTGTGGTAGCCGTGCTCCTGATGTAGAATAGTTGGCGCAGGGTCGCAGAGACCTCTCATTAGAAAGGGCAACGCTTCAGGTCTGAGCCAGGCTTTAACAAATGATTCCTGTGTCAGGTGAGCACTGCTGACAAGGCTGTTCTGTCAAGACACAGAGCCCAGCAGGCCTGCGCTGTTGTGCTCTGGTTATGCCTCTACCAAGTGGGCCCCACAATATTCACGGGCTCAGCTTCCCCCTGACTTCATGAGGAGCAGCATCTGACCTCTGTGAATATCCATCTTTCTGCAAGCACAAAAGCAGAGAGTAAAAGATAGAAATTGTATCACATAATCCCCCAAAACTTGGCAGAGGCCCAGAGAAATAAATTGAAAGTAAAATAAAGAATATAAGCAAAAAATCACAGGTATCTAGAAATAGAATTAAAGGAAGAGGGTATCAGTATGGCTAAGAAAAAGTTTGGGCAAACAACAAGAGACAAGAAAGGCAATTAAACAGATAAACAGTGGCTGCAGGAAGCTATGCAAGTTCTTTGAAACAATTCGCTATTGTTCACGGTGGGAGGAGGGTAGAAATTCTTTTGGGACCTCCCTTCAGGTAATCAAGGCATAGCTGTGGCACAGAGCGAGCTCTCTTGAGGAAGAGGTGGTGGAGCACGTAGAGAGACTTATTAGCAGTTGCTCCTCAGGGCTTGGTGTTGTTCCGAGAGATGTTCTGAGAGATGAGAATGGAGCAGAAACAAAGAAAGTAGCTAAACTGATAGAAGTGCTGCTTATCAGGACAAGGCATGTGCCCGAGACCTAGTGGGTGGGTATATTCTGGCTCCTGTCTTTCTAAAGGGAATTTAAAGAGTGCTGGTACCCTTTGAGCCCAAAGGAAAATTTTTAGATGAAAATTATTAAAGGCAGGTTCATAGGCAGTACAGAGGCAGCTAAACAAACAGAAAAATGATAGAAATGCTCTACTGCTGCTAATAACAGTTCCTACAAATAATGGGGTGTAGGATGCTGAGTTATCTTGAGTAGTCTAGAAAGCAAGGAGAATACTAGGACATTTATTGACGTTAAGTGTCTGTTCTCCTCCTGATAGTCATCTCAGTCTTCCAGAAAAAACACTGCTTCCCCCTGTCTCCCTTATGGCACAGCTCACTAATGAGATATTTGTAGCAAAGGAAAATTTGTGAGTGATCTATTCATGACATGGAGCAGGAGATTAATGAATGCTTTTTAATAACCTTTGCTGAGACAGTTACAAATGGTAGCATTCTTGAAACTATCACCCTTTTAAAAACAAATGCCAGGTACTCGACGTTTGTGGCCTCCCACTCCAGCAAAACACACAAGCTGATGGAGAGGGACATCCTTGTGGTGTCCCAGGCTGGCAGGTCCCTGCTCTGCCCAGCCTTCCCACTGGAAGGCCAGCAGCCTGGCAGGTCACACATGATTCTCCTTCCTTACCCAAAGGGTAAGCGATTTGGAGCTGACCTGCTGAGTTCCTGTCCATTTGAGCTTCGTGTCCACTGTAAAAGAGGAGCCCGACAGAGTGCCAAGGGCTTCAGGTTGTTCCTATGCTAACACAAAACCAGAGCAGCATCGTTAATCAAAGAAGTTACAATGCTGTGAGTAAGTGCATGAGAATAAAGTCCTAAAATGAGTTTAGACTGGCTTCTTCCTAAGCATTTCTCAGTGGCTTTTTGTTACCAAGTTGCTCGAGGCAAGCTAATAATCACAGAAACTGTACAGAGCCTTGAAATTGAATTGATTAGCTGAGCTTAGCAAACAAGTTACCTCTCTGTTTCTGAAGCCAGGTTTTGGGAGTGAGTTAATATGAACTAATGTTCATCAGTGTTCTTCGTCCAAACAATATGTGCTTGTTTTTACCTCATTCCTACCATTAGATCAGCCGTGCAAACAGCCTCTTGCTGGACTCTGCTGTGGTATAAAGCAGACAGACACAACCTGAATCCTAGATGGTGAATTTCCATAGCTGACCATTTGTGCTTTACTCTTCTTAGTGCAGAACAGCTCACTGTTAGAACAATTATACTGAGTTAAAGCAATTATCTACAACTATACTGAGATGCAGAGAAACTTTTAATTTGTTACAAAACAAGCTGAGCTTTGAAAGGTTGTTTCTGCTACAAACTGTTACCTAGTTTCTGCTGAAAACGCTTTTTCCTCAAGCAATGTATGGCAGTGTATTTTTACCGAGCAATCATGCCCTTTCTCATTTGGCAAGCATTGGTTCCCCCAACTCCCACCCCCTCGGTTTTGTACAAAGCAAAAATTAACATGGTTTCAATGGCAGAGCAAGAACTGCTTATCCAGGCATTTATTAACTGGGGAAGTCCTACATGCTCAGATTTGCCATTTTTTGCAATATGTGCTTCACTCTGTAACCAAACTTCTCCCACCCAGAAACTCCTCTGATATCAGAGGTCCGAATGGTGGCCTGATAGTAAACTGATAGTGTGCAGAGCATTTCAAAATGAGCTTAGTGCAGAGCTGGGACCTTTCACAGTCAGTGGTGCTATCTGTTTCATCCAGTTGTGTTGCCAGATAAGAAACACTTCTACACTCCCGACCTAAAACTTGCTCTTCCCACGCACGTGCTCCTTCATCTATAACCTGCAGATTATCTGTTAATCTTCTGTGCTCCCACTAGCTCCAGATCATAACACTGCACTTTGACATACCTGCACAATTGCAGCCAAAATGAAGTTGAATGGCCACAGTAGTTCTTTTAAGTTAGGAACAACCCTAGTAGCAACATTAAACTACCATTGTAAGGTTATGATGAACTGGGAAGATGAATTTGGGGGTTCATCAATTTCTCTTCATGTTTCAGGGTTGTTATTCACATGGGTAAGTAAAAAAAGAGAGAAAGTGGCTGTAGCTGTCTCCAGATACTTCAAGAGGTAACATCTCTACTTGTGGACCACTAAGGACTATTCCCGAGACCTAATAATGTGACCAAAAACCCCAAACCCACTGGCCATAAACTTAAATTCAACATTCAGGTTTCCAGATCTCCACTGTGTCCACAAAAAGGTTGAAGTCTTTTAACAGAGGTGAAGGACAGTAATTAGCCACTATGGGCTATCACCATGGAAAACAGGAGAAGCATCAGTAAGTGAGAAGGAGTGAGACCAGGGCCCTTCCCATTATTTAAATGTGGCTTCTTTTCAATGTTTCCATCTTGCAGAGAAGTTGTTACTTTCAACCACTTCCTGGAAGAAGCAGCAGAAAAAGAAGTGCGGGGAAAAGCCAGGCTCCAGCACTTCATTGAGAACCTGTTGCAGCGTGTGGATCAGGCAGAAAGACAGCTAGAATATTACCAAAATCAGCAGATGATGTGCAACCACACCAACGTCAGCGAGCACGTGGTAAGCCAGCAATGTCCTTCCCTTCGTTGTCACCCACCACCAGCAGGAAAGTACTTGAGTTTCAATACGGATGGGCTCAGTGGGTCAGGCTACTTGCTACTCCAGACAGATCTGATTTTGTAAAATGTTTCTTTAGACGTGTTTCATTTATGTTTTAAACTACCACTTCACTTGAGTGAAAGGAGCAGAGAGTGTAAGAGCAACAACAGCCAAAGATGGCAAAGGGCGAGCAGAGAATAATGAAATATTTGCCAGATACTTGAGGTTTTTGCAAGCTTTGGCTGTTGCTGCTGTTACCTTTGCAACAAGCACTTTTCTTTATGATTGGCAGTTTTTTGGAGAGGTCTAGAGATCTTCAAGAAGATGTGGATCCCTACATAGGACAAGTCAGCCTCCTGGTAAACAGCTTGCTTTCTGTAGTTACCTATCACAGGGCTCTTAGAATGGATTCCCAGAGGCCTGTCCCCCACAGATTAGAAACCAAAGCTGTCTGAACATTGCTTTTTAAAATACATTATTTCTTTACAAGCCTTCATTATTAATACTTATAGTCAGTATT